GCGAAGGAAAAGAAAGAAACAGGCACAACGAAGGAGTAGGGGGAAAAAGCAACGAGACAACGGGCAGTCGTATAGGCACATCGATGAAGACAGACGGCGGGGCAGGGTGGGGTTCGTATCTAGCGTCAATAGCAGCAGCGGCAGCCGCAGGCCAGCCGCAGCCGCAACAGCAGCAAAGCAGCAGCAGCAGCAGTCGCTCCTGCGGTGTCTAACTCTTTCAGTCTATCTAGGCGGCCGCGAGGTTAATATACCGAATAATGGTGTCAAAACACCGGGGGGTGGTCGCGGCGCGCAGGCACCTGAGGGGCTTTTGCCGAGCGCGCAGTTAGCTCGACGTCGGCCCCTCCACAACTCGCTCGCTCTCCGTCCGTCATGGGCTCAGCGCAAGACGCTCGCTCTCCGTCCGTTTTGAGAAACAGTACAAAAGCATGGCACTTGAGCACTTGAGCACTGGATAGGGTCGATTCCGCGTGGTACGGGACCCCCAAAAGCAGGGCCGCAAGAGGGGGGAACGAGCGCTCGCGATGAGTTGATGAGAGGGGGCTCTAAAACGTCGGAAACAAAAGAAAGCATGTAAGCATCCCGGAGGGTGGACTCAAACCGACGTTGAGTGCCGACGCGACCGCTGCGGATCATTCGTAGGATCGATCCACGAATAAGGATTGGGAGTCGGGCAGATCTGAGTCGGGGGATGCCAGAGCGCGAGCTGCGACGGTGTATCTCAGTCACCTTAAGCCACCGTCGCATATCCGGATATGCGACGGTGGCATCACAAACGACGCGTACGTATAAGGTGACCCTGCTGACTGGAGTGGTGTCGCGACGCACGGTCCACGGAGCCACACGCACACCCTATAGAGCTCTACCCTATACGTATCTTGGCGCGGTTTCAAAAAAAGCCTCGCGAAATACGGCTTTAATTATATGCTCGTCGCGAGAGAAGCCACGTCCACCGTCAGCAAAACACCACCTGTCTCCGCACATGACATGTCGCGAGACTCCCGCCTCTCACTGTCAAGAACCCAAATGCACGCCCTGTAGCTGTACTCCTTGATCGGCACCGGGGCGACCCACCGCCAGCTGCCCACCGCCCCCCTCCCACTCCCGCGTCAGCGCCCCGCGAGCTCCAAAGAAGCTCGAGGCGACACACCGACGCGCGCAGCGACTCGGCAAAAGAGAAGCGTCGGCGCCCTCGCAGTAAACCCTCGTAGAGCCCTCGTAGTAGTGTGCTCTCCTGCAGCACGCGTGTACTCGCGCCGCCGGTTGCCCCCCCCCCCCCCACCCAAAAAAAAAAGAGGGCAGCTTGGGCCCGAGTCTAGAAGCGCAGACCCTCGCCGGTGCGACGCGACC